GGTCCTGAACTTGATATATAGCCAAAGCTGGCCTTGAACTCTTGCCCTCTGTCTCTGCTTCCCGATTTATAAGGCTTTTCATGATTTTTGCAATCTCTCCTTGGACGGGAAGGATTTGGAAACTCGTTTTTAGAACAAAAATAGAGATGATGGCTGGTGTTGCTTTTGAAATGCAGCTCAGTGGGCTTTATTAAAACTGTAAGGTTGAAGGAGTTGCACAAACACAAAGCATGAACTGTTAATCAAGCCGTGCTTTCAATAAATTAAAAACGGCTTGTACATTGTGCATAGTTTTTGCAAATTCGAAGCCCCTTAAATTTTGTGACTATCTGGTCTCTTAGGATGCAGCAAACCATAGCTTTGGATAGATCCAAAGAGGCGAGCCAGGCGTTGGTGGTGCACACCTTTAATCCCAGCACTCAGAAAGCAGAGGCAGGAGAATCCCTGTGAGTTCGAGGCCAGCCTGGTCTACAGAGCCAGTTCCAGGACAGGCTCCAAAACAATACAGAGAAACCCTGTCTTGAAAAACAAAAACAAAAAAATAAATAAGTAAAACTGGTTTTCCTTTTGTTGTTTTATGCGTGTTTTTTTTTTTTTTTATTTGCTTTGAGGTGTAACTTCCAACTGCTTGTCCTCCGCAGACTTGAGGTTACACTTGTATTCCGCCGTGCCTGGCTAGACTTCATTTTTATTTGACCTTTACTGTATGTAATGGAGTTACCAATTTCCGACTTTAGGCACTTGGATATAACTTCTACCTTGGAAGTAGTTTGCTTTAAGTCAGATTGCATTTTAGGGCCAGCACAGGTCTTGGTTCCCTTGCTGTGATTAAGGTGGCGTCCTCTGGATTCAGAGGGTGTTTTAAAAACGGCAGCAAGGATGTCAAATGACATCCCTGTCATTTGAGTAACAGAAGTATGCTGATAAAGTCCAACCTTTGTTCTTACAGGAGGAGAAAATGGACATCGTGTCTGAAAAGCCGAAAGCCGGGGTGTATTCTTGGAACAAGACCGAGAAAAGCGATTTTGAAGCCGTGGAAGCGCTCATGTCTATGAGCTGTGACTGGAAATCTGGCTTCAGGAAACACCTTGAGAACAGGCCGGTCACTCCCGTGTCTGACACCTCCGAGGAGGAGAGCTTGCTTCCAGGGACACCCGACCTGCACACAATCCCGGCGTTTGTGAGTATTCTTAAGTGGGTAGAAATTACAGCATTTTCCAGCATTTACATAATGGATGCTTAATTTCTCACGGTGTTGCCTGTGTTTCCCTTTGTAGTGTCTGACTCCGCCTTACAGCCCCTCTGACTTCGACCACTCTCAGGTGTCAACTGGGATGGCCCCGGCGCCATCTACCGGCCACTTCAAACCATTCTCCGATATTACCAAGGCTCCCGTCAAAGAGGAGGACAAGGGCCCTATAGCTGCCCCTCCCCTCCCTAAGGCTCAAGCAACTAGTGTCATCCGCCACACGGCTGACGCCCAGCTGTGTAACCACCGATCCTGCCCTGTGAAAGCAGCTAGCGTCCTCAACTCTCAGGACAATTCTTTCCCAAGAAGGACCCACCTGAGAA